AAAAAAAACAATAGGAAATGACTCAAAGAGGTAACTATGTTTCAAAATCGTTTAAAAAACAACACCATCTAAGTTTGGTATGTTCAAAAAACATCATCCAAGTAAACGTTTTGTACAAAAAACACCAAACAACTATATGTTTTGTTCAATATTACCCACCGATAATTGGTTCTTACAGGTTAAATGATACTTGGCCTAACTATTATGACCTGGCATGATAATGATTGAAAAACAATAAATGATATATTCCTCCTTTAAAAACCTATTTAGGGTTTCTTCATGAACGAATGACTTCTTCTTCTCTTATGATTGATCTTCTTCTTCTAAAGTGATGATCTCGAACTCAAGTCCAAAACCCTAACTCTTAACTTAAGGCAAAAAGGGCTTCCTTTACCCTTGCCTCAATGGGCCTCCCTCCCCCTAAGGCCCAAATCCATAAAAAGCCCAAAAAGGCATCCAAGCCCAACTTACAAGGCATCTAAGGGGCCTAATCTGGCCCAAGAAACCCCCAACATGGCCTTAAGCCCAAAACATGACCTGCTACAATCAGGTGGGCCCGATGCCTAACTTAAACAAGTCCATTCATACGCCCAACATATATTGAAGCCTCTGCGATCTGGATTTTTTGCAAGTACGCCCGGCGTACTCCTACGTACGCCCATCGTACTCGGCTAGGCTCAAGAACCGCCAATCTTCCGAAGGCCATAACCATCGGTATGGCTGTCTGCTGCCTAAATTAGCTACCCGTTTAGATAAACGAATGACGAAATCACACTTAGAATGAGAAGTTATGGCCTTCGGAAGGTTGGCGGTTCTTGACCCTAGCCGAGTACGTTGGGCGTACGCTAGGAGTACGCCAGACGTACTGGCTCGACATCTGGATATGTACGCCGGTGGGTAATATTTGAACAAAACATATAGTTTGTTGGTGTTTTTTGACAAAAAGTTTACTTGGATGGTGTTTTTTGAACGATTTTGAAACATAGTTACCTCTTTGAGTCATTTTCCTATTGTTTTTTTCCTTTACTTATTTTTTACCGGTAATTGTCGGTTACCAAAGGTCAAATTTGAACAAAGAATGTACTTCGTTGGTGTTTTTTGTACAAATGCTTTACTTGGATGGTGTTTTTTGGACACACCAAACTTGAATGGTATTTTTTGAACGATTTTGAAACATAGTTATCCATCTAAGTCATTTTCCCTTATTTATTAGTAGACTGACGTGATTTAATCGATGGTTAATCAAAGAACAAAGTGGCTTGAGTTTTATGACAAAATAACTAAATCGGTATATATATTATAAAATAGGTTTTGCAAAATGTTTTTTTTTCTACTTAATTTACAAATTGAACTAATTATAAGATTTTTTTCTTCAAAATAATGGTTTTACTTTTGAAAAATATGTTACTTTACCAAAAAAAAAAAAAAAAAAAAAAAAAAAAAAAAAAAAAAAAAAAAAAAACATTTTGCAAAAAGATATTTTATTTTAAGACTTGATCAATTTTTTTCCGGTGATTAACCTTTTAATCAAATATTAATTGACGAACACTATCGGTCAAAAATCAATGATTGGATGATCCAATTTGATAAAATTTCCCTTTTACCATGATGCCCTTTTTCCCTTTTCCCTTTTCCCTTTTTTTAATTCTAAATTCTAAAACCTTTATCTCCGATTTTGTGAATCAGAGATTTCCCCTTATAGAAATTATTTCTAAATATAGCTGTCGTCCTCCCCCGACCGCTTTTCCTCTGCCGGCCGGCCCGCCGCGAAAACAACAACTCAGGAATCGGGCTGTTGACGTCCACCCGCTGCTACTTTTCTGCCCATTCGAACAAATTCCTGCAAAATATGTTGTTGTTGAGAAATCTGTGATTGGAAGAGACACCACTCCATAGCTCCACTGTAAGTGTTCTCCCAATCGTACTTGATTTCAGTCTGATATTGTGCTAATTCTTCGATTTCGTTCTCCTTCTGTGCTCGTTTCGGCTTTGCAATGCTTTGTTTGGTTTGGGTTTTGATGCATTCCTTGATTTGACCAATGAGTCAATGACAATCTTCCAAGTATTTTCCAGTACCAAATCTTCGCTTCTAGTCAGATCATTATCGTGTTTTCATTCCTAAACTTTGGCTTGTAATTTAGGGTTTTTTTTAGAGGGTGTTTGGATGTCTTTTCACTACGATAAACTTTGAATGTTTGGGCAAAATAACAAAATTCATCTATGATTCTGCTTTTCTTAAATGTCTATTCAGGGTGGATTCCTGTGATGAATCTAAGTTTTCATACACCATCTGACGAATCAGTTTTGGACATGGAAAGATCATGCTGCAATCACGAGGAAACTCCACCATTACAGTCTTTTGCCACTACATCAGCTGGTCAACTTTCAGAGACCAATGCAACATACTTCTCATGGCCTACTTCTTCCCGTTTAACTGATGTTGTTGAAGATCGAGCTAATTACTTTGACAATCTTTTAAAAGGGGTTTTACCCCAAAGAATTGGCCAATTGCCTACAGGAGAACAAGCTGTTACTTTGCTTGAACTGATGATGATAAGAGCATTTCATAGCAAAATCTTGAAGAAAGTTAGTCTTGCAACTGCAATTGGATTCAGAATTCGAGGGGGTTTGCTAACTGATATACCTGCCATTCTTGTCTTTGTTGCTCGTAAGATTCACAGGCAATGGCTTACTCATATCCAGTGTCTGCCATGTGCTCTTGAGGTTCTTATTAACTTACTTTATCAATTTCTTTATTGTCCAAATCTTGTTAAGATCAAAGGGAATTGGATTTTTTTTTATATGGGAAGATTGAAAATGGTATTTTTGTTGTAAACTAACTGAATAGGGTGAACAGGGACCCGGGGGTGTGTGGTGTGATGTTGATGTGGTGGAATTTTCATATTATAATGTGCCTGAAGTAACTCCAAAGGAACAATTTTGCACAGAGCTTGTTGATGGCTTACGTGGAAGCTTTCCATGCATTGGTTCTGGTTCCCAGGTATCTTTACATCTCCATGGCCATTCGTGTTTCTCAGAGCATTTACAAACTGATTATTGAAACTTGTAGAATCAAAATCTGAAAATGATAATAATAATAAGGTTTCAATGCAAGAAACAGCAAAGTACTTTCATTGATTTGTTTATTGTAGTATCATACATCTCATTACATCACTATACTTTGAAAAATATACGGGATTATAACAATGTCATCCAAAATTGTAAGTGCTATAATAAGAAAATAACTGGAATTACAATGCTATGATTGGGTAGATTTTCTGAAGTACAACGCATTAAGACAATGTTTTTTAATAGAAAGAAATGAAGGTAGGATGCTATAATATTAAGTTGGTTATTTTTATATCAACTCGTTACCTGATTCTTCTAATCTGATTATTTTTTATCCTACATAAATAGATATCAGAATCTTTATCACTTTTGCAAACATTATAAACTTATTGTTGTGATTTGTAGCCATGTATTCATTTTAATTGCCAAATCATTCACAAAATCTTGGAACTAAACATTATTCAGAAATTAAAGGAAGAGTCTTTTCAAATGGCATTACTTTAAGCAAAACTTTTTGTCCATTTTTTGAATTTTATAAACATATAACTTATTAAAAAAAGAGTGGAAACTTGTTTCTTCCTTAGGTTGCAAACCAAAGCACATATGGGACAATGGGTGCCATTGTGAAAAGCCGAACCGGAAACCGCCAGGTGGGATTCCTAACAAATCGCCACGTGGCGGTTGACTTGGATTACCCAAACCAAAAAATGTTCCATCCTATGCCACCTAGCCTGGGGCCCGGGGTGTATCTTGGAGCTGTTGAAAGGGCAACTTCATTTATCACTGATGATCTTTGGTATGGCATATTTGCTGGAACAAATCCAGGTAAAAAAATTTCTTATTAAAATACAATATTGTAATAAAAAGAAGTAAAAGTAAGATGCTATGATATTGAAAGTACATTTCTATATATTGCAGAAACATTTGTTCGAGCAGATGGAGCATTCATCCCATTTTCTGAAGATTTTGATCTTGCAGATGTGACAACATCTGTAATTGGAATTGGAGAGATAGGTGAAGTCAAAGCCATAGATTTGCAGTCTCCAGTCAACAGTGTAATTGGTCAACAAGTGACCAAAGTTGGAAGAAGTTCAGGGTTGACCACAGGGACCATAATGGCATATGCATTGGAATACAATGATGAAAAAGGAATTTGCTTTCTGACCGATTTTTTAGTGATTGGAGAAAACCAACAAACTTTTGATCTTGTAGGTGATAGTGGAAGTCTCATTCTTTTAAAAGGGCAAAATGGGGAAAAGCCACGCCCGATTGGAATCATTTGGGGTGGGACAGCTAATCGGGGTCGATTAAAAGTCAAAGATGGTCAACTTCCCGAGAATTGGACGAGTGGGGTCGATCTTGGTCGCCTTCTAGATGTTCTTGAACTTAGTCTCATCACCACCAATGAAGATCTTCAAGGTTTGTACTTTGCAACTTTTTTCTTTTTCCAATTTTACCCTTTTTCATATTTCTTTTATAACCAATTATTTACCATAGTTGCACTGCAAGAACAAAGGAACGCATCAGCATTAGCAGCACCAGGGACTGATTACACAATTCGTGAATCATCTACGCGTCAGCCACTTGAGTCAAATGACCAAAATGCCCTTGACTTCCGTGTTGAATGTGGGACACAACCCGCTCCAAACATCGAACATCAGTTCATATCAAGCATTCCGGGGACCTTTGACTTTGACTTTGACAACAAAAGTTTCTCACCATTTACAAATTCAAAGTACAATGCTATAATTGGGTCCGAAGATATTTCTATCAGCTTGCAATTGGGTGAACCCGGACCCAAGAGACGAAAGCAATGTGGTGCTTTGTTGATTGATGAAAATGCAAAATGATTTAACGGTTTGTGGAATTTTTAAGTAATTTGTTCTCATTGGTTTATAATTTTTGGCCCTAGCGTAATTTGGCTGCTAAGGGTGTCTATGGGTATATCAGTGTTTAGATTGTAGAGTTGATGGGATATATCAATGGCTAAAATGTTGAAAATATGTAAAATTTTAGTCTAATGATGTTTAAAATCTATTGTATCAAGTACTTGACGAATGAGATGAATAATTTATCGATGTTTCGTGTTAAGTATCAATGTGTTTCTTACACGGGACAAGGCTAGATGGAACGAGACTAGACCGGGCTGGGGGGACATTTATTGGGTAAATTATGATTATGAGGATGAGGAGGGTATTTATGTCTTTTGAATAGAAAAATGATTGAGAGTAAGTGCTTGTCCCACTTCTTTGGATGAGATAGTTGTAGTCCAATGCACATCAAATACAGTGTAACTTGTTATGTTTAGGAATATGGGACTTGACAAGCTTTTTTAATGTAAATCATTTTAAAGAATTTGTTATATTGATTTGGGAAAGATTTCGATTTGTTATCATGAAAATATTTGATTTATAATCATAAATTTTTGTTAAAATTTATAGTATGTCGAACGTTACAAGTTACATATTACAAATTAGTTGCGTAACCAACAATTACTATTTTAATTCTCGGTTTGAAGCAAGTGTTCGAATTATAAACAACTTTTTGGTAAGTGTTTTAAAAGGCCAAGATATTATCACATAATGATATAAACTCGGTGAGATTCTAATAATAACACTGATGGTTTAAAAGGCAAATTACGAAAATATCATTATATTACCAACACAATTTCGATTTTGACGCCGAGTTTTTTTTCGTAGTTATGTTATTATATTTACTATTTTGTTGCAGTATCAACCAAATGACCGGTTCTAACTGTTTTTTCCGGTAACCACTTTTCCCAAATTGAAATAAAGTCATTATGTTTACAAAAATTGTGATTTTGACTTTGTGTTTTTTTTCTCAATTATGTCAATATATTTACATTTTGTTGCAATATCATTCAAATCACAGTTACCATCAATCCAGCACATTACCAAATAAATGACATGACAATATTGTGACGTAGAAGCCACATCAATCCAACATTGCGTGCACAAAAGAAAAGTCGGTCTAACTCATGGCCGCGACGCGGCGAGGCAAAAACCTCCCTATAAAAGGAGGGTCACCCCTCATTTCTTTCCACCATTTCTTCCAACTCTCTTTCTCTCTCTCCCTCTCGAGATTCCGGTCTATTGTGATTCGAATTCTCGTTCTGTAATCTAGTTAGCGAAGCTCTAGAGATTTCAAAATGATAACTAAGGAAAAGAAATAAACATTGAAGTTCTGCTTACGACTATTTGGACCTCATTAAATCGAATAAGTTACACTTAGTCTTATCTAACCTACTTGTTTCAAGAATATTCAAGTGAAAGAAAAGTCACATCCAATAATTTTCCGTTTTATTAAATGCACTTGACTGCACACATCCAACATTGCGTGCATGAAAGAAAAGTCAATCTGACCCAAGGCCGGAATTCTTGAAACAACTAAGTAGGTTATATAAGAGTAAGTGTAACTTACTTGATTTGATGAAGTCCAAATAGTCGTGAGCAGAACTTCGATGTTTACTTCCTTTCCTTAGTTATCCTTCTGAAGTCTCTAGAGTTTCACTAACTAGATTATAGAACTAGAAATCGAATCACAATGGACCGAAAATCTCAAGAGAGAGAGAGAGAGAGAGAGAGAGAGAGAGAGAGAGAGAGAGAGCTGGAAGAATTGGTGGAAAGAAATGAGGAGGGGTGACACTCCTTTTATAAGGAGTTGGAACAATGGACCGACTTTTCTTTTGTACACGGAATACTGGATTGATGGTGTGATGTGGCTTCCACATCACAATATTGTAATATCATTTATTTGGTAATGTACTAGATTAATGATAATCGGTCATTTGGTTGATATTGCAGCACAATTGTAAATATAGTGAAATAACTGAGAAAAAAACACGGTGTCAAAATCGTAATTTTGGTAAACATTGTGACTTTATTGCAATTTAGGAAAAGTGGTTACCGGAAGAACTGGTCATTTGGTTGATATTACAACAAAATTATAAATATAGTGGCGTAATTATGAAAATAAAAATTCGATGTCAAATTCGAAATTTTATGATAATATAGTGATTTTTTTGCAATTCGTCATAACTTAAAATATAATTATAGAACAAGACTCGTTGGTATTATACATACTATTAATTGTTAAAATGGTGGTGAACAGGAAACTTTCGCAATTCTCATTTCCGCCACATTTTTTCTTTCCTTTCCTACTTTGGCCACATAAGGTTTTGTTTTAAAAGGTTATATTTTTTTTCAGACCGACTTCGAAATTGAGTCAGGTTTATCTTTTCCACCGCCCTCTTCGTCTCCACCGTTTCTCCCTTCTTCTTCACCACCGATTCAACACTGTTTTTTGATACATGTTCTTCCTAATCGAACCACAAGCCCACCGCTCTCAAACATCACCGTTTTCTTTGTCTATTGGCCTTCACTTCTCCTTTCACCTCCGCCGTTCCAGAACCCTCTGTATCTCCACCTCCCACCAGTATTCGATACACTTTGACGGTGCTTCCGCCGCACCTCCAATCGATTCGACACCTCCAGTTGATTCCATCACAAGTTTGATTAGGTTTGATCCTCGACTCTTGAAATTCCATCACAATCGGTCAGTTCCCTTGGCGGAGGCGAGTCCGACGTGGATTTTTCACCGGACGAAATTTCTTTTCAGTTGACTGGGGTGTCTCGACTTAGATGCTTATTATCACCGACCTGGCAAAGAAATCAAGGTAACCGTTGACGAATTTCCCTCTCGAAGTCCTGTCTATGCCTGTCTCCATCTGTGCCATCTTCTATTTGAATGCTCAAGAAGAAGAGTATAAGTGATACTGTAGCCATCTGCTTTGTCGCCGCGTAATCAAGAACCAGAGAAAAGAAACTCAAGCACAGAAACTGTAAGTTCGATGTGGTGAGCTGTGATATAAGTATGTTTTCCGCTGAGTGCAACAATTTGCGCTTATCAATAATCTTAACCACTGACTACGGATAGGAAGTAGGAACAACCCCCACCCCCCACCCTTGTCTCCTCCCACCGGGAACAACCAACCACTATACAACTTATTTCAACCACTAATGCAAATACATGCAATATTCATTTCTTAACCAAACATCAGCTTTATCATATGAATCTAAGGTACAACTGTTACAACCCTCTCTTATTTTTTTTAATTAGTGACATACAGTTTATAATTTCTATTGAAAATTAGTTTCATGATCTCTACAAATCATTTATAGAGATAGCTCCATCTTTATCCACTGGAATACAATATTAACTATTTTTTTTACTGTTTTTATTTCCCACCTGACTTATCTCCCTTTGTTCTAAAATTCGTGTTGGTATAATGGGTTTTAAGATTTATGAAGCTTTAATTCAATTTATTTTATGTAAATTAGTGAAATTGATTTTCTGGAGTTTGCATGCCAACTGTTTGTTTATATGTCTCCATGAAACTGGATTGCTAACTTCCATATCTTCATGAAATCATATGAGTTTTATTTTGTGCAGTTACATCTCTATTGTTATCTTTGTAGACTAATTTCCAGTTGCTTGTCTTTATATGATGGTTTGTTTACTTTGTCAATATATTGTAAATTGATTTCTTCCATGGTTCTTCCTAGTAGCAGAAGGATTTTGGAATGAATAGTTTTCCTGTATCGCCACCACAATTCAATCCATTGGCTGAACCAAATCCTTTGGGATTAGGCCAACAAACCACTAGCAGGGTAGACCATTGGGCACACCATTGGATATGTCGTCTGTATTTGATGAAATCCTCTTCATACACTCTTTCTTTTCAGCAAAAGGTTAATCATCTATACATCTTTTATAGTTCTTGCTTCAACATTTGTTTGGTTTTTTATAAAAGATGCGTTGAATTTGCCAAATCATAGACTTATATGTTTTTTTGTTGTTGTAACAGGCAAATCATCCAAAAAGAATGATTGTACTGCATCTTAACATGTAAGTACCTGCAACTATTTTTCTTAAAAAATAAATAAATAATATTTTCATTTTATTGGGTTTAAGATTATAGACACATAAATTGTTGAACTGATTTTGGCTTTAATCTCTGCAACGTGTTCATGTTGTGTTCGTCATCGTCTCTCTCGCCCAAGTTTACTTTGATCTTTTTCATTTCTGGCCTAAAACGTTTTTCAATAATAAGAATATTATTAAAAGTTAGAGTGTATTTATTAAAATGATTATCGAAGAAACTTGATGTGATAAATCATTCTATCAGACTCCTAAAGTCAAAACTGGATTTTAATTTTGAACAATGTTTGGTTTTTATTATCTTTTTACATTTTGGACTAACAATTTGATCTGATTTTTTTTCTTTTTGAAATAAGGAAACCTCCTGCAAATATTGCGAACAACAAACAGTGTTTCCCTGAGGTATAATTGAATTCATCTCATTCTACAAACCATGTTGCAACGTCAAATTAATGCATTGATTCAAGGGGTACCCGTGCAAACATCGTCTATCTCTGTGGTGAATCGCTCCCGAAAAGGGCCATGAACCTCCTTTGGATTTTTCATTTACTTCTATCTGATTTTCTTTCAATTCAATGGAGTTGATGTCAATCGATTGTTGAGAGTATGATGAAAACGTGGGATTTTGAATAGTTATTTATTTATTTAATTATTTATTTTTTTTATATATACATGCTTGCTTCCATATACTGATGCACTTTTGAATGCTATTTGTTATACATCTTTTCCTTTCTGCACCGTTTATTTGCGTTAGTAATGCAGGTCCGTATACCCTTGATGATTATTGAAGGCCTTGTAGCTGTAAGTTTTATTTTCTGGGTTGAAGGGTATTTTTGGAAACATTTAGACAAAAAGATTGAATCTTTGAAAATTTTATTTGTATTGTTGCTATTTATGGTGGTTCGACTTTTGGAAACCCCTTTTTTGAATCTTATAAATTTTGCTTCTTTACTCACTACAGATGCTGCAAGCCATTGTTTTGTTGCTGGAAAAAAATAAACTTCTTCTTGAGTTTGGACTTTGTCAGGCCCAGGTTTTAAACATTTTTTTGTTTTTTTTTAATTATTAACAGATTTCATGGGCTATAATTTATTAAAAAAA